CATCGGCGAGATTTTGGTTCCTTTATTATGCAGACAGAATTACCTCGCCGCTGAACATCGGCGAGATTTTGGTTGCTTTCTTATACAGACAGAATCACCTCGTCGCTGAACATCAGCGAGATTTTGGTTGCTTTATTATACAGACAGAATTACCTCGCCGCTGAACATCGGTGAGATTTTGGTTGCTTTATTGTACAGACAAAATTACCTCGCCGCTGAACATCGGCGAGAAAGAGCGTCTATATGTGTTAATGTTATTTTGCATATGAAACTAGTATTCATATATTGAGAACATGGCGTAATTTTTACCGTTCTGTATATTGAAAGAATCACATAATATGTGTTTGTCAGAACGCCGGTCTTTGTTGATTACGGAAGCAAGTGTCCGTGTGTCCATTTGTTTGTGATGCATTTGGTAGTGAGTGAGACGAGGGATGAAACTAGTGAGTTAGTGCGTGCACGTCAGATTCAAAAGAATAGAGGAAGGAGTTCAAGGATGGATGACTACTAATGGCTCATTTGTTTTATGAATACATTTTTGTCGTACGTATTAGCTGATTTAAGCTGAACAGTTGGAATGTCGTACATGTTTTGTTTTAAATTAATTCTTTCTTTGAGTAGAGCTTGATCGTCTTAATTTGTTCGTGGGATGAACAAACATGTGGATCGCGTTCAATGTCATAAGGTTCATATTGTTCAGTGATTCAAAATGTGCTTTCAGTTTAGTGCTACAGATTGACACAAACCAGTGATCAAAGTTTAATTTATTCCAAGCAAACTCATCTGCTTATCTGGACGCACTCTTGAAGTTACAAATTTCTCCGTTGCAAACTTCAACGCCCACGGCTCTGACTTTAGAAAACAAGAAAGATAGCAGGTAATTTTATTTTTGCTTAATTTCAGCTTGGGTCTCATTATATATTATTCTCACTACAGACCTTATTTTGGTGTATGCACTCAGCCAAATCATTAAGAACCATTCTTGACCATTCCGAAAAGATTAATTTGTCTGGCAATCTATCAACTTGACTAAATTGAACGTCAACTGCGTAGTCCCGCATTAGTTTATGTAGCACTCAACTAGAACGTTGCCTTAGGCTCATGTTAGGAACCTACTGATGGCAAAACTAAACTAGCACGCCTTTTGAAATTCAGTCCAGTTACGTACGTTTCCAGAGTCCTAATTAACTGCTCTCCGAGCAGATGAATAGGAGACTATCGGCACAGGATTGGTCACCGTGTAGATGTAAAAGCACTAGGTTTGAAACGTATAGTGGTCGACGTAGTCGTACGCAATCTCCTACTCGCACTTCTATTTATTGAGTCAAGAGACTTTAACTGGAACCATGCAACTACATTCAGTAAACAAGCCTAATTTTGAGTAACTTCACTTTTGAGTTTTTCCATGACGTCTCGAATCGTCGCACACATTCTTAGGACCTGATTACATCGCGAACTTCAGCCCGGGCTGAAATTTGAGCCTGGTTAGGGCCTGATTACATGGCGAATTTCAGCCCGGGCTAAAATTACAGCTTGGTTAGCCGGGCTGGAATTTCAGCCCGGCTTACGAAACAAATTCTCATGAAATCAAATTGGCGATTACATGAAGAGGGATTCAGCCCGGGCCGCAATTCAGCCCGGGCTGAAAAGTCTGAAAAAATCCCATGTAATCGAAACGGAATTTCAGCCCGGGCTGAAAAGCAGGAAATAAGATGGCTGCCGCTAAGAAGTAGAAACGATCTCAATGGAATAAAGGCGATAAAATAGAGAATCTCTCTAATTTCAAAGCTTAGATGGAATATAAGA